ATTTTTTTTGGTACCAGGGATCGAACTTGGGACCTTGCAAGGCAGGCTGTGGAACCACTGAGCTAAATCCTTGGCCCCTTATTTTATTTTATCAATTTATTTTGTCACAATAAAAAATAAAAAGGGCTGGGGATCTAGCTCAGTGTGAAGACCCTGGATTCAGTCCTTAGTACTACAAAAAATTGTGTGTGTGTATATTAAAGGTATTAAAGGATTTATTAAAAATCTCTGAAATCTCTAAAACATCAGAAATTTCAGCCGGGGACTTACCTCAGTGGTTTCATCGCCTGCTGCGCAAGTGCACGGACCCGAGTTCAATCCCCGGTACCAAAAAAACAAAACAGAAATTTTATCAGCAGGAAAAGGGGCACTTGATAATATTACCTTAAAGATTATCCTTTTGTAAAACAAAAGTATTAATTCTTTATGGTCTCAAAGAAACAGTTGGTTTTTTTCAGTGCAGAAGTCTATCTCTGAGCCAGGCATGGTGATGTATGCCTGTAATCCCAGCACTTGGGAGGCTGAGGCAGGATGATTGCCTCAAGTTCAAGGCTAGCCTGAACTAATAGTGAGACCTTGTCTCAAAAAATAAAATAAAAAAATTAACAGTCACTATGTACAAGGCACTATTGTAGATTCTGAGCATGTAAAAATAAATAGAATGTCATCCCTTTCAAGGAGCTCAGTCTAATAGATGGAGACAGCCATATAGAGAGAATTATACCGTATGCTAATGAGAGTAATAGAAGAGCAGTGAGTGTAAGAGGGAGAGTAAGGATGTATTTTAGATGTAAAAGTTGACATTCATTTAGTTTTAAAGAAATCATTGCTCTCCAGACAAATGAGGAAAGGAAAGAAGATAAGACATCACAGAAAGGGGGGAAAAAGAAGAAAGAATCAAAAGCCTGGACATGTGTGTTTGCAGAATGAACGGAGAAAATGAAGCTGGGATGTCAGAAAAAAGAGACCACAAAGAGTCTGGATTTTCATTCTATTCACTTGTTGATGAATTTGTTTATATTTTGCCTTATTCTAGAAAAGATTGTACAGTATTGTGGTTAAGAGTCCACCTTTGAACTGCGCATGCCAGCACATACCTATAATCCCAGCTACTCAGGAAGATCACAAGTTTGAGGCCCTTTCTGAAAATAAAAAATGTAGGGACAAGTGATATAGCTTAATGGTAGAGCAGCACTTGCCTAGTATTGCAAAAAAAGAAAGAAAAAAAAGTCTACCTCTGAAATGCAGTGATATATAACAGTTGCTTAGGAAATGTATAAATACTGCTGAATAAGTTTTCTGGCTGTTTGTGTGTGTGTGAGACAGGGTTTCACTGTGTAGTTCAGGTAGCCTTGAACTCACGGTGTAGGCCAGACTGGCCTCCAACTTTGGCAATCCTCCTGCCTCAGCCTCCCAAGTGCTGTCACCACACCAGGCTTAGGACACATTTTATCCTACCGAATATATATGGCTGTGATTCATCAAAACAGCATTGGTTCAGTCCTCTTTGTTGTATGTAGTATGTTATGGTATAGCTTCCATGTGGCATTAATAAGTACATGTGTCTTCAACTAGGTTATTCTGATAGCTTTATGGAGAAGGGATTGAAGGAAGAACAACATTGGAGCTAGGAAGACTGTTCAGGAGATTTTCCATTAATTGAGGTGAATGATGATAAGATCCTGAGTGTATGTAATTAGGATGAAGAAAAGGTGGTACATCTAAAATAACAAGTAAGTAGAGAAAAACAAGTAGACCTTCACAGTTAATGATCTTCTCTGCTCTGTCCCAGGGTTTATTACCTCGAGGTGAGAAGCCCAACCCTTTGAGGCAAAAGAATGCCAAGGTGAACCAACTTCTCAAGGTTTCTTTGCCGAAGCTCGCCAACGTGCAGCTCCTGGATACAGATGGGGGCTTCGTGCACTCGGACGGTGCCATCTCCTGCCATGACATGTTTGATTTCCTGAATCTCACAGGAGGGGGCTATGCAAAAATCTGCAAACCCCTCCATGAACTGATCATGCAGTTGCTGGAGGAAACACCAGAGGAGAAACAGACCACCATTGCCTGACTGACCCCCATCAGTGTTAATAGTATCCCAGCTTCCTCAGATCAGTTATATCACTGGCACTACAGAATCCTCTTTCTTAAGGCACTTTGCATTGTAGGATGTTCCTGGATGCTCGTATCTAGTGTTTGAAGGGGAGGAGGGATTTAAATTGGTCCTGTATATAGAAGGTTTGTTTGACACAGGAGAAAAATTAGCCAAGGAAGATTGTTATTTAAATTCATTTGAAACCAGAAGGGGACTTTTAGTTGTATATGTGACACCTTCATTGAATTATCACTTTTCCTAGAACATCATCAAGCCCACATACTGAAAAATATAAAGTTTTTTTTCTTGGCCTTTTTTTTTTTTCAGTGAATTATGTTATATAATCATTATCAGAATCACACCTACTTAGCTATAAAACAATTCATTTTTTCCTGTTTTTAAGTTTCAAAATTTAGCCTTTTGTATTTTGTTTTACTCATGTATGCTCAGTATTTTCTTTTTTTTTTTT